TTATTTATTGAAAAATACCATCTTTCCTCCACATTTGAATAGTGTTTTGTGCATTTACTTATTTTTAAACAGATTTATTTTTATTTATGCATGCAAGAACTGCATTGTGGGTCAGACGCATGGGGTGAGGGGGGTGAGAGGATTCACCAGAGACAGAGTGGGGAGCAGAACAGGCAGATCTACTGAAATACACTGTGGAGGGGAGCAGTGGGTGAGGCAGGAGAGGTCTTCTGGGCCATGTGGGTAGCTCCCTGGCTGGGGATCTAACTCGTGCTGCAGTGGTTGCTGATAGCTTCATAGTGCTGAGACTTAATCCCTTGTGCCACCATGGAAGCCCATTCTGTAGATTTTGATACACAAGGCCCTTTATTAGGTTCAGGAAATTGCTTTTTATAATTAATTTTATCTGTTTTTCTTCCTTTTTTTTGGTCTTAATGTGGTTTTTGTCAAGTACTTTGTGCATATATTTAGATGATTATTTGACTTTCTTTTGGCTTTTAAGATGGTGAATTATATGGATTGATTTTATATATTAACTCAATCTTCCATTGTTGGGATGAACTTCAGGAATGTATAGTACTTTATATATTCAGAAGATCAGATTTGCTAAACTTTTACTTAGAATGTTTCTATCCATGTTTATAAGGTGCATTGTATTGTAGGTTTTTAGTCTAGTAATGCCTCTTTCAATTTTGCTACTTAAGTAATGCTGACCTCATAGGAGGTGATTTCTCCTCAATTTTCTGGAAGTTTGTATAGAATTGACCTTATTTCTATGCAAAACATATAATAAAAGCCGCCAGCATTTCCCTAGTGAAATCTATTTTTTAAACTACAACTTTAATTTCTTTACTAGGGCTATTTGGTTGATCTATTTCCTCTTATGAGTTTTGATAGTGTGTGTCTTTTAAGAAAGCTGTCTATTTTATCAATGTTGTCAAATTTATTGTCAAAAGGCTGTTAATAATATTACTTTATATCTCTTCAGATGTCTGTAGAACCCATAATATTGATACCTTTCTCAATTCCAGCATTGGTAATTTGTGTCTATTTTTCCTATTATATTTGGTAAGAAATTTATCTGCTTTATTGATCTCAAGGAAACAGCTTTGGGTTTCATTGTTTTTATATAAATGTTTCCTATTTTACATTTCATAATTTATGCTTCCATTTTAATTACTTCTTTTTTCTTATATATTTTAAATTCACTCTCCTCCTTTGTTTTGGCTCCAGAAGGTAGAAGCTGAATTCATTGATTTTAAATCTTTCTTGTTTTCTTATTTGATATATTTTCTTATTTCAATAAATTCCCCTTAAGTATTGCTTTAGTGGCACCAAAAACTTTGATATGCTGTATTTTCATTTTCATTTAGTTTAAGAAAATGTTAACATCACTTTTTTTAAAGATTTATTTATTTATGTATATAAGAACTGGGGTACAGACCAAAGGTGTGGGGGGTGAGAGGTTTCACCAGAGACAGAGTGGGGAACAGAAGAGGCAGATCTACTGAAATACACTGCTGAGGGGAGCAACGGGCGAGACAGGAGAGGTGTGCTGTGCCATGTGGGCAGCTCCCTGGCTGGGGATCGAACTCGTGCTACAGAGGCTGTGGAATGCTTCATAGTGCTGATGCTTAACCCCTTGCACCACCAGGGAAGCCCTAATATCATTTTTGACTTCCTTGATCCATGGGCTATTTAGAAGTATATTATGTCATTTCCCAATATTTACTCTACCAAATGCCACAAATTACTCTGACTGGAAACTACAGGCACTATTCCTGCTCATAAGGCAATGAGAATTCTAATCTTCCCGATGATTATTTTCTGGATGCTGGGTCATTTTTAATCTTTCATACATACACACACACACACACACACATATACATATAGATATACATATACATACATACATACACACACATACAGCACACACACACACATGCTGCTCAATGCTCAATATTCCCTGAGTTCTCTGTGGCAGCTCTCTCCTCTCCAGAATGCTTCCCATCAAACTCTAACTGCCCTGCTCTCTTCAAATACTGAGCTCTATCTCCTCAACTCAGGAACTCCCCTACGCCTCCATGGCTCCTCCTTCTGTTGATGAAGTTTAGACACTTCCTCAAGACAATATGTGGAGGCAATTATAGGATCTTGCTTATTTCTCACCTCTTAAATGCCAATATCTTGAAACTCTTATTTCATATATTTCATCCACTTTTTACTGAATCAAGTTTGTGTGTGCATGCATTAATCCAGTACTTGCTAAGCCAAGTCAAAATATACTTCTTTAACAATCAGTTGTTATTTTTAAATTTCTTTATAAGTAAAAATTTTATATTCTAGGCTGTTAGTTATTTCGAAGAATGTTACAGTATAGGAAGAAAACATTTCTTTATTTTCTAAAAAGTAATCTATATTTTGAGCAAGGGAGTTTTGACTAATAGAGCAGTTTTACTCTATTTGTATTGCATATTCTAGTTATAAAGGGTTTTTTCATATACATGCTCTTATTTGATTATGTATGGCTAAGGCTAGATAATTAGTAGAAAGGCAGTTAGTATGTGATGCTCAAGAGGGTCAGGATTGGCTTAATTGTAAAGTAGATGGTGCTTTCATTAGTAAATCTATATGGGTGTCATCATGTGATTAATTATTTTATATGAATAGTCATCTCTGATTTCTTCCTATCTAAAATTTCAATGCTACCACTCCCCAACATCTAACAGTTCATAAACATCTTCCCTTTTCTTCTTAACACTTATCACTAATATATTAATATATTTTATTTGTCTAGTATATATGTATTTTTTCTAGTATCTGTTTCCTTCATTAAAAATAAGTTCTAGGTAGACACAGTTTTATCTGTTTTGTTCACTACTGTATCTCCCACACTCCATTGAGTAGGAACTCAATAAATAAGAAGTTATCATTTAAGTTTAGACAGTGTTCTTAGGATTTATATTATATTTATGTATAATGAATGGAGAACAATATCTGAGACTAAGTTTTCAAGAGTTTCAGAATTTACATGTACATAGTCTCACTGCTATTAGATGTGTATTATCTACCACACTAAATATCTTCTTCAATTAGAGTACTGATTACTAAGCAAACATATTCATGTCATGGAAAGGAAAGCAACAGATGAATATAAAGAGTCTAATAAATTAAAAACATGTTTTGTTTTTCTGAAAGCATATAGAGACTAAAGATGGCTTTAAAACATTTGAAAAACAGTCACTTAGGAGTACTTTATTTCTTAAAACTACCAAACCACCCATCAAGGAAAACCTTCCAAGTCATTTTGCAGAGTTGTGATCATTTTTATGGCCACATTTCCTGCTCACCTTCTTCTAGTTTATCATATCATTCTACTAAAGTCTTCCCTAATACAACTTTCAATCACTCAGGTAAAGAACATCCTATCTGGGAACTACATGATGTGAGTTATCTGTTGGCAGATAACTAATTTAATTAGGTGAATAAGAATCTTAGATAAGAAGGAAAAAGTGGATAATAGGGTCACAGATAATAGCAATATTGTTATGCTGATTTTTTTCCCTCAGGTATATCCAACCACAGCATCCAAGGGATATTGGTAAGTGAATGTGTAAATATGCTCATCATTACATCTAAGGGTAAAAATAATCTTTTTAAGGTTTTGAATATACTGTACTTACTTCTTCCCTTCCTCCCTACTTGCCTTCATTCCTTCTTTTTTAACGTTTTTCCCAAATGTCATCTCTATTTTTTCACTTTGAGAACTACAACAAACAACCACCTAAGTTGTGTAAATATGTATGATCTACCTGATGGCCAGATGTTTACTGAGTATGGTACCATGTTTTTGGCGTAAATTCCATCAAACTATAAATATACAAACAAGTTAGTAGGAAGAAAATTTCATTAGCTAATGATGTTCTCACATATCAAGCACTAAGGAAGGCTATTAAGCAAAACAATTAATTGTAGTACAACTCTACTCTAATGCTGCTAAAATAATTCAGATTAACCAAGAACCACTAAATTCCACATTATGTAAACTCAAAGTAATTCTTATTCTGAAATTTTGTGATTTTCTTATATAATATCTGATATATTTATGCAATGTTAGTGAAAAGCAAACCTTACTTGCCAAATGAGAAATTAAAAGTCATAACGCTTGAACTTTACAAATGAAAATATCCAAACTCTAATAATCCTATTGTACAAATACTTTTCAAAAATAATAGAGTTCTTTGATTATTTCAAGTTAAATTTCAGGAAGAGAAAAAGAAAAACAGTAGTATTATGAAATTAATTCATTTAAAATAATATATAGTTTGAACAAAAAAAAATACCACCATAATTTCTTAGCATGAAAGCACATTAATGTGTCCATATTTTAAATTTCTGAGAATAATAAAATATTAAAATTATTTATATGCTTCTTAGTAACATATATGAGGGATCGATTTTATTTACAAGGAAGGCCATCAATATGTGAACTTGCATTATTCAAACAACTGATTCATCAAACAATAATGTCTATGATAGTGAAAAAAGTCAAACTGCTTGCAGAATTATCAGAATTCCTCTGACCACAGTTTAATCTTGAAGTTATTTGAAAATAACCTTAGGCAGCACTGGCAAATTCAGATAACATAAACACTTCCAGGTTTCAGTTAAAAGCACAAAGTGATTGTTTAGGGTAATGCGTTATTTTAAAAATAAACCCCTTTTTTAATTTTAAAAACTCAAAGCTCTAATGTCTGCAGTATGAACAAAAGACTCACTTTGAAAACTTTTTCAAAAATACCAATATTTCCCATTTAACAATAAATATTGCATGCAAAGAACTCTAGCAAAGCTTCTATTTCAATTAAGTATTAAATGCCCAACTAATCAGTATTTTGCATCACTTCACAGAAAAGTTTTGGCATTAAATTACTAGGTCTATATGTACATGCTACAGCATAGTATGTTCAACGTCAAAAAATAAAGTAAGATGCAATTACCCTAAAAGACATTTCAAGATTCTCTCCACCCCAGATATCCATTCCTGCATCGTAAGTTCCTATCTCTTCAAAGTAGTTTCTGTCAATAGAAAATAGGCCACCAGCCATAGTAGGGGTCCTAGTTGAAAAAAAACAAAAAAGAAAAATATATCTTTTGAACACAATGTGTGGAATTTAATGAAACTGTAGCAAATATTTTAGAGACATTTTAAATTAAAAAAAGTAGTATTCAAAAATCTTAAAACAGAAAGACAAGGTGAAAGAGGTTTTAAACTTAGTAAGTAGCATTTTTTATTTCACATTTTCTTTAAAAAGCTAAACTTAATCTATGTTTTTCCTATATCTGATTAAATAAATATAATGGAAGACTATTTGCCATGTAAGATCGGTTATTCATATTGTTTCTAGAAGGCTTAGTAACAGTGCCTCTAGCACTGCCTCTAGCACTGGTCATGAAATTACCAGTTTTGATTGCTTTTCACCTACTTACTAATCATTTTCATGTGAATTCTAGAAATCTGTACACATGATTTCTCTATGGAAAAACATATAGCCTAAATAGGAAAAATATTAAATACTATAAAATATAAGCAACATATGTCTAATGACAACATACATTTTTAACATAGAAGCTTTTCATCTAATTGTTTATTCTTCTCTTTACCTAATTAAATTGATACAATGAATCATATACCCCAATAGGTAAATAACTCCATATGTTCTTCAGGTATTCAGAAGGCTTTATGACACAGATTCTAAAATTTTCTTCTAGGAATAAGTTCCTTTTAGTTTTTACACTTAAAAGTCTCTAGAGAAGAAAGAAGTTAAATGTTGAAATGACTATTTGTTATTTTTAAAAAATGAAAACCAGTGGTTACTGTGAACTACACAAATCTTTCCAAATAAACTCTACAAATTAAGACTAAGAGACCTATCTGTACTGGCGATGATTATTTTTGAATGTTTGGATACCACTCTCTGCTGATTCAGATTTAATTGGCCTGGGGAGGGCCAAACCTTTGGTACTATGTCAAGTTCCCAGATAATTCTAATATGCTGCTAAAGGAGTGAAATCACTGATTTAGTAACTTAGATTTTGAATGCTAATCCATGTAGTCTGAGACTGAGAAAAATGTTTTGCTTTTCCCAAAATTATTTCTCCTGCCACAGAATATGCTCATGTCTTCTAATTGAAAAATACAGTTCATTTGAAAAACCACCAAATAATATTATACTTGGATAGCTACCATATTGCAAAGTTCTCAATTTCTCCCAATGCTCTCACTGTTTTATACTCAGGTAATTAACTGTCCATCAGTTGGAGTATCAGAGCCTTCCTTAGTCTCAGAGCTGTTTTATTACTTCAGTCTTGCTGGGTTCCTATCATGAACGGTATCATTGACCTTCTGAGTTATAATGAGAAACACTAACAAAGCTAAACAGATGGTAATTACGGAGTATCCACGACCCTCACCTGATTGGGGTTTTAGAAACCTGACAATAAATATATAAGATATTACAATGCCGGATAGCCTATTTAATGAAATGATGAACAAAAATTGCTGCAATTATCCTATCAGAATGCAAACAAGTGCTTACGAATGTTAAGTAATGTTTTTTTAATGATCATGTCAAAATGCCTATCCACCTCTCTTCTAATAAAATACTAATGCGTTTAAGTTAAACACACATATTGAAATTCATCTTGCAGTTGATCACAATCCCTATAAATATGTAAGAAATGTAAAATAGATTATATGCTTAATCATAAGAATGTTTCACATGTTTCATTTAAGCTTGACAAAGTGTGCAAGTAAAATAAAATAAAATTATAATTTCTCAAAAAATACTCTATTTTCTGAAATAGATGCTCCTAGAGAGATTTCTTTGTATTTGAAATTTCAGAGGTTTTCTCAATCTGGAGCCTGTGCCATAAATAATATCAGTTATAGCGAGCATTATGCAACATGTCCTGTTCTATGTTAACTGCTCTCTAATCTCCCTAAAGAACTATTTCAATAAGTCTGTGAGGACTTAAAGTGTTTAGGGTACCCAGAAAATTAAAGACCTTGATTATAGTTGAATTAGCTGAGATCATTTGCTTTGTGAGGTTGTGTCTATACAATGTCAAACCACCAACCAATTCAATCAGTTCTACTAGGGAACAAACAATCAGCCATTGGCCATGAGCATTACCTACAACACAATAAATCGGTGAAGACAAATTGAGTTAATAGAAGCTTAAGTACTTAGCACAGTGTCCTTCACATAGTAAATAGTTAATAAGATTGGGAGATAGAGCTTTGTTGTTGATGTTAATCATTCAAATAAATGTCTTGAATGTGCTTCAGATTAATTGTAGCTCTCCATACACAAACTCTCATTGTGGAATTCAGGATAATTTGAAATTATTTCGTATCAGAGGTGTTGAAATCTGAAATTTTGCTGCTCTGAACACAACTTTCCAATTTACAGCCTCTCCAATTTTAATCCTATTGAAGCTGTTTTTTATCCTTCATGGATGTTATGGTTCCTAAGCTACCTCATATTCTCACATGATCGTCATTTTTTTCCTATTTGTTTCCCTCCTCCTATCCCCTCTTCAAGGTTCTGCCAAGTCAGTAAAAAACTAGTTTAACATCCTAAGTTCTTTAGCCTTACCTAATTCCAGTTCTCTTTTTGAAAAATGCCATTACTTGTGTAAACTTACCCTTGCTTCATCCATTTCTGTTCCTAAGACCCACAGAATCATCGAAAACATGAGCTCAACTGAGTATATACTGCAGTCTCTGCTACTGATTCTGCTTAGTCCAAAGTAGCTAATAATCCTTTCTTACATTTATTCACCTGTTTCTTTTTAAACTGAATCTTTTACAAAGTTTTCAACTCTTCTAAGATGAAGGAAATGTATAAAATCTAAATTCCCTCATTCATGAAATCTAAACTCCCTTAATTGGCACCTCAATATGTGCAGATGTCTACTAATAGCCTTTCATTCCTTAGAGAAAATAATATGTCCTTTCCTCTTATTGTGGGCTAGTGTCACTCTTTTGCCCTCGCACTTCTATTCTGACTACTCTTTTAGCCTCTTGCTCATTGACTATATTACATTTATGTTTTATGCCTCTGATTTCTAGATTGTTCCCTTGAGCTTACTAAACTGTTTCATTAAGTTCTATTCTAAGTTATAGTGCAGCTTCACTCCATCTCACTACTCAAACTAGGGACATATATTTCCTGTTTCATGTACTCCCTCAACTCCTCTTGACCTTCTAACAACAATCTGGATTTTGTTCCCACCTCTGCAATCACTTCTTTCTGAAAGGGTCCCATTGATTCTGAACTTCAATAGCTTTTCCTTAACTTCTTAAAAAAAATACAATTTATGAGCTTCCCAGCTTGAAATTCTTTTTACTCTGATTCCCATTGTGTTGTTTCACAGAAATCTTTCCTTCTACCAATTACACTATTCATTTTATGATTCTTATTTTGTTCCTTCTCTTGCGGCTGTCAGATCTTTATCAAGTTCTTAGTTTCACATCTGTTATATGAATACAATATATGACCATAACATTGTTTTGCAGAACTGTGCACTTAATACTTATCTTCTTTTGTCCCGAAATGTAGTCATCTTAAGGTTCTCTCAGTGGCACTTTTCTCTGGCTCTAATCTATCTGAACTCACTCATCATATGCCTTTAACTGTCCATCTCTATGAGGCTGACTGCTACTGTGATTTCCTTTCTCATTTCTTTCCTCATTGCATTGTTTATGCTTTTCTAATTACTCACGAGATTTTTTTATTTAAAAATGAGATCCACCTGCCTGCTTACTATAACACAGAAACCTAGCATTTACTACTTCTTTCATATTTTCCTCACTTTAAACATCCACATTGCCTTTGTAGCTCATTTCAGAGTAGTAAAATAAAATGATAAAACCATCTTTCTTCTTACACCCATTCAACCATTTCCCAAATAACTCTTGTTTTTCGAAGCATTTGTGACTTTTATCAATCTTCTGTTTATGATCGCTATGTGATTTTACCCTTATGTTTAACCATTTGTTACTGGAATCCTCTTGCTTCTAGAATCTGCTGCCTCTAAAATTTAGTCTATAAACCACAACCAGATCTATTTCTTAAAATCAAAACCTGCTCCTCTAAAAAGGTTAACTGGATATTCAAAACCTATTTTAAAGAACAAATTCCAGTTTCTCATTCTAGTATCAGTCATCCGGAATCATCCAAGGAGCTCCTCTACTCCTTTTAATTATTTCACTGTATTTAAAGTGTTTAACTGCTACTAATAAAGGTTTCACAATTTCCCACATTAATATATTTAATCACATCAATTTGTCACTTAGATCTCTATAAAAATTGGACTTAAGTTCAATAAGTTCAAACCTGCTACATTTTTAGGTCACTACACAGACCTTATATTCTATGCAGTCTGCTTCAGTGCGACCTTCCTCCCTCAGCCTTGCGCAAATTTCTCCTTCTCTTCTCCCTTGTTCTATAGTCTTCTATTTCTGTTCTTTCAAGGCACTTGTGATCTCTTACTGAGTACTATATTTATTTCTATCTACATTTTACCACTTCTATAAGTATGCCCAAAATATAGGTTTAATTTTATTAGATGATTAGATGTTTATTGAATAAATGAAATCAACAAATGAACAATGTACCCCCATGGCCACAAAACAAACTGAGTTAAAATCAACTATCCTGCACCCCTATGTTTACTACAGTAATATTTACAGTAGGTAAGATATGGAAACAACCAAAATATCCAAAATTAGATGACTGCATCAAGAAAATGTGGTAAATGTACACAATGGAATACTATTCAGCAATCAAAAAAGATAAACATGCCAATTCACAGCAACATGGATGGAGCTAGAAGGGATCATGATGAGTGAAATAAGCCAGAAGGAAAAAGAAAAATATAGGAAGAAAATAGGGGAACCAAATAAGGGATCAGGAAAAAATAACAACACAACAATAATAACAATAATAATAACAACACAGCAAAATTAGCAGGCAACCATAAATCAGAGACATTCTGTGAGGGAGAGGGAGGAAAAGAGATCAAAATGGGAGAGAAGAACACAAGGGACT